TATTGGACATAGGTCCACCCTTAAAGCTGAACGGGACTCGTAAATAGGCATACGCCATATTCGTTTTACTATCTCCGATATCAGCTGTGGGGTATACCTTTCGCATTCGTTACACCTAGCTGTTTCCTGCGCGGAATGGAGCGTGCTGGTTATATTACCATACCTTTGTTTACATTTTCTTGCAGTTTACATGTATTTGTGTTTGTTTGTATACTGCACTGACTGTGCAACTGTTGTAAGTTTCTTTGGTATCTTTTCCTCCCGCCTGGAAGAAGTACACAGAAACTTTAGTTGCTACCGATTGTTTTACAATAGCTAAGTAGCATACGTCTGTCTACACAATGACACGATTCCTGTGGCTCGTTTCTCAAAAAGTCGTAGATTTGGGCCTAAGTTAGTCCGACTAAGTAAGTTACGCAAATTTAGACGGGCCTAAATCGCGTTTCAGAAAGCGGCGTAAGACTGGGCCTAAGACTTAGACCTCTCCACTAAGTACTAAGCATGCGCAGATCGTGTTTTATTTGGTTTAGAGACTACAATTACATGTGGCGGATCAAATTACCGGTAATATATATCAAACTTAAACCTAAACACAGAAGTAAAGTACTGAAAGCATGAGCGCGCGTGCATGTTTTCTCTCTTCACAATCTTTCAAACAGATATATTACGCAAATCCACCTGCATTTTCAAGGTCAAAACATTAAAATTAAATAACTATTTTTTTATGCTCAAATAAAAAAATCTGTATAGGTACAAATTACATTACAAAAACATTAACGTGTACACGATTGTGTTATTTTGATATACAATCGTACATTAAAACCCAGACGATGTACATAGTGTAAGCATGATAAGTACTTGTGAACAATTCGAATAGATTAAGCATGGGGTATTTTAAGTAATTTTCCTTTGAATATAAGTCATATTGTTTTTCACTTATGTTAAATACATTAAAACAAATACACATAAGGTAGTAGCAAAGGGCTGGAACAGGCTCGTAGCAACAGTTTAAAAGGTGGAGGGGGGCAACTTCCCAAAAAAATCTGACAAGCAAAAAAAAAAAAAAAAAACTAACAAACAGTGAGGGGCAACTTACCAAATTAATGTAACCAAAAAAAAAAAAACTTCATTAATTGTCCAAGTCAAAAACCTAATTATAACTGTCCAAGACTGAAGTCATGGAATTGGACAGTGCTCGACCTTACAGCGACAAAAAGTAGGGGGGGGGGGGCAACATCTGAAGGACAATTTACTATAGCAGAAAAAGTGGAGGGCCGGGGCCCCCTGGCCCCACCGCGTTCTACGGGCCTGTGGAAAATTTAACAATTATAAAATCATACACTAGTATTATTATAATATGGATAAGAGTTTTGAAAAATTATCAGTTGTATTGAATTTATAATTTCATTAACAGAATAATTTTAATTCTGGTTGTAACGTTGTATTTGATTGGATAGAAAATTACTTTATATCGTATTAAATGGGTTGCCTACTCCACAATGACTTGCGTCAAAAACGTATCGATCCGCCTGACGTTATATTCAAATTTTGTACAAACTGAAGTCATTTTTTAAGGACAATTTCATTTTTTTTTCTTACACCAAATGAACGAAAATTAAATTATAAGCAATGAATTGAATAGCTACCCAATTTATACAGTATAAACTGGGTTGGAACAGTTTACGCTTTTTTATAAACCGCTTCGCGACTTGGACAACTATACTTTTGAAAAATATTTGTTTGCAATACAAACGATATTTTAATTACTGGAACATTTTACATTTTCCTTTTTATGATATTTATATTTAAGTAAAGGGGAAATTAAGGTAAAAGGTGCATTGCCTTAATTAGTTGATGGCATAATTATCGAATATTTTTCATTATCGAAAATATATTAAATGTATATTGTTTGAGGAGTTTTATCAAAACATTATCGGTTTCAAAACCAAAAAAAAATATCAAGGACCCAGCAGCGTTTTTAAAAAGTGTGCGGGGGAGGGGAAAAGGGGTGGGGGCTGGGGGGTAGGTAATTGAGTAACCAAAATATTCAGCAAACTTTGACAGTACAAGAAAAGAAATACTGAAATTGCCGGACAACTTAAATTACAACTTAATTTTAAACAGAAAGCACTATTACTGCATAAAGCGGTAGGGTTGCAGTTCCTCCCCCATACTACGCGTGCCTGGGTTTTTTTTTTTTTTTAAACTCTGGCAGTTCTTAATTTCTTACCTAGTTTCACAATTTAAAATTCATAGTTACAAATTTCTAGTTCATCCCACCTTTTACGGAAAAAAGTCTGCATCCTCGCTGATTTTTACTACCTTTCTATTTACCTACATAATAATTGTATATTTCACGATTTTTTATTTACATATCATATATGAATATGAATAGGTGTTTATATCGTACGCGTAAAAAATAATTATTCTTTTAACTCTTTATGATCAAAACACTTGCCACTTTTTTCAAGTTGTGTACAGACTAAGAACTTACGCCTACTCATGAGGAGGCGTAGATTTAAGCTAAAGTTTAGTCTCGACTAAGTCTCCGCCTTTTTGTGAAACGCAACTTAGTCCGATTTCCGGGTTTAGTCACTGATTTAGTCCGGACTAAGCTTAAGCCTGGTCGTAGGCCTTTTTGAGAAACGGGCCCCTGCAGATTACACGCCAAATACGCCCATCTTCTTTCATGAATTATCCTGTGGGACCCCCTCGATAGTTAATTTTGTCTATCTGGGAGCTCGTCTTTGGGTAGTACTCGGTAGCCTAGATAAGACCACGCCTCGAGAACATAAATTGAGAAAGAACAGAGTTAAGTAATTTTTTTTAAATTTTAAATATCTTGATTTTTATTTCAAAAGTGTATTAAAAAATTGCAGGTATCTGTATTATTCAGATACGATCACATGATGAAAATTTTGTTTGATTATCAAGATTATTTCAAAAGGTATATCAACTTGAAATCTTGACTTGAGTCTGTTCTCAGTTTATGGTCTCAAGGCCGCGATAGGGCTTTCATGTTTCACATGTATATTCTTCGTTACAGACCTTCCCTTGCGTACCAACAATTATGTCCTTTTGACCTTGACTCAGGAGTTTGTCCTACTTTTAAAAAACTTAAACCTTGGCCATAACTTAAATAAGAGAGAATTTCTAACCTTAACCATAGCTGTCATATGAGGGCATCAGTGGTTTTACAAACACATCTTGTTTTAACTTTTCTTTTAAGAGAGATATTCACTTTTACCATATCAAAAATATCGTGCAATCAAGTAGAAATATCCCGAAAGAAAGACATTGTTAACGTCTGGAACATTTGTGAAGTTCTTGTGAATTTGTCGGAATTGTAAACGATGCGTCATTGGAAAGAGCTGGGTCATTCTAAACGAGTTTCCGGATTTTGTAAGCAGTTAGGTTTGTCGACTTACGTTTGTCGCGGCCGGGGATTGAACCCACAACCTTCCGATCAAGGAGCGAGCGCTCTACGATTAAGCTACCATGAACCTTAAGAGACAGAAAATAGATGTTCAAAAATTTGAAATTATATGCTGACACGCAAAAGAAACGCTAGAAGTAGTAAACTACAATACTTAAAATGTTTTTATATAATGATATTTACAAATTAACACAAATTTTAACAGTAAAGATAACTTGATTAAAACACTTCACATTTATTGAAAACTTGAACCTTGACGAGTAACTTGAATAAGTAAGAGGTAAGATTTATGCCCCCACCCCACCCCCGTAGGCCTTGTCATGAAGCAAGGAAGAGATTTTTTTCGGTATAATACTGCTTTACATACGAGGCCACAGTATATGAATTCTTAGTTTTATTTCCCCGAGTGTGTAGGTTTCAGGAAAATCAGGTTAAAGACATATTTGTCATATTTTGAACAATTCATCTACCAAATATAATAACTATTACATGAGATAGGAAACACTATTTTACCTTTAAAAATTGTTTCCTAATATATAAATCTATACTAAAAAAAGTCTAACATTTCCAATGTTTTTCTGAGCGATCCAAATAAAATCGATGTTGGACCGCTGAGTGAGATATTGGACCTGTCGATGAGATGTTGGACCGCTATGACTTTTTTACGTCACACTGTAGATCAGCTGTATCTTATCAATTATCGTAAAAATGAAGGCCAGCGCAAGATTGTGTCAAAATAAACAGTAACCTAACGATCTCAGGCAAACAGTGTGGTTTTTGGGTCCGACAAAACGCATGTTGCCCTCGAACCCAGTTAATAATATAGATTTATTGACTGGGTTCGAGGGCAACATGCGTTTTGTCGGACCCAAGAACCAAACTGTTTGCCTGAGGCCGTTAGGCCGAAGGCAAACAGTTTGGTTCGAGGGGTCGACAAAACGCATTTTGCCCTCGAACACAGTCAACAAATATTTTGTTATACCTTTTACTTATTTATTTTATTATTATTATTTTGACATATATGTATGACGAACACCAGCAAATGCAAATGAGATTTAGCTGACCCCTCCCATTGTGTGACGTAAGCGGTCCAACATCTCATCGACAGATCCAATATCTCACTCCGCGGTCAAACATCGATGTTCTTATGCCCGCTCAGTAAAACACTGGAAACATTAGACTTCTATAAGTATTGATTTATATAGGAACAAATTTTTAAAGGTATAACAAATGTAATTTGTTTGTTGAAAAATATACAGCGTATATAAAAAAAGAACAAAAACAACTCAGGTCTTCTGGGAGACGACCGTTTACAATGAATATAGACAGGTATAAATAAAATCAAGGATCTTCCATTTTTCCCCCATTCAAATCGGTTTTTTTGGAAGATATCTTTTTTTTAAAGCTTGTTTTAGTTTTATTGGTGGAATATTTTTCCATTCATCTATTTATCGTTGTTGTCGCCTATGTTTTCTTTTCAGATTTTCTGATCTTATAGTTTTTTTTAAAGATGTGTTTTCACTAAAAAAAAAGAAATGTTTGAAAATCAAATTGAGAAAAAGAACTATTCAATGTATTTTAAGACCTTGATTCTACCGTCGGAACATCCAACACATACACAGTAGTTAGCGTCTATGGTCAGTGTAATGGGGTAACTTTTCCTTTCTAGTCTCGGAACATCCATTAGCTTCAAAAGTTTTCCTTCAATATTGAGAACATGAATGCAGTGGCTTGTTTTGTCAGCTATAAGAATCTGTCCAAGAATATCGGTACATATCCCACCAGATAAAAATGTATTGCCAGTTTTCCTACTACCGGTGTAAGAGAATTTAAGTTCACCATCTTTGTCAAAAACATCGACAAATCTGTTTGAGATGCAGATGTCCCCATTGATATTACCAGCTACGTACGTTTGTTCTATTTTTTGGTCCCCTTTGTATGCTTGTACAAGACATCTGAATAAAAGAGGACTTTTAATTTCATCAATTAATTGCCCACGCCTTCTATATCGTAGTATCTTCCCTTTTGTTACTTCTGCATTTATCACTCCTATCGCAATGCATTCCTCATCTTTCAGAAAGTACATGCATATTGGTAGAGTTGATTGATCACTAAAGTCTACAAATATTGTTTCTTCTCTGTCTGGACTCAACTTTGATATTACATTGGGGTGTGTCCTAAAATATACATCTCCATCTGGAGATGTACATATTGGTTTGTTGTTTGCTGAAGATCCTTTAATTTTAAAAAGGTCATTTCCGACTCTGTCAATCTTTGTAAAAACCTTATCACCTTCAAAGTAAACCCAAAATGTATCATCATTTGACTGAAAGGAAAGACCTTCGATTTTCTTACTTCCTGCTATGATTTCTTCAACTTCTAAGAAATTTGCTTGAAGTTGAAGACCATCTCTTTGTAGGTAGATTTTTCCACACAAATTAGTGATGGCAGTTTCATCCAACGAGCCTTTAGAGAATTGCGGCTTGCCAGGGGTCGGTAAACATGGAAAGATTTCCGGCACAGTAGATTTAATAGACGGATTTGCATATAAGATGAATCTATTTCTTTCAGCTGGTATTGCATTTCTAAAATCCGTCATGAATGAATGAATATTCTTAATGTATTCCAGCATTTGAGACTCCTGAATTTGTAGTTCAGAAATTTCTGATTCTTCCTTGACGTTTACTGTTTCTAAAAGCCGATTCTTCTCCTCCTCAAGTTTTGATTTCACCTCTTCAAAATGAGAATTAATTTTACTTTTCACTATTTTAGTCCTTTCAACCTGGCTGGCTTGTCTTTCTTTAATTGCGGCCAGTTTTGCATCATACTTTGGTAACTCAGATTCTACGAAGGAAAATTTATTCTCAATTTTCTCTTTCTTTTCCAGAAATAGTATCTTAGTCGCCACCAGTTTATGACCATTGTGGTCGTCAACCAGGCATTTTTCACAAACCGGTACCTCACATTCTCTGCAGCAGATATTCGCACGGAAACCTGGATGGTACCTGCACACCTGAATAGATGGAAACTCTGACAGCTGAGAAAGAGATTCAAACATCAGTTGTGTGACTTCATGGTCAAAAGAAGATTTGCTTCTACTGTGGATGTCTTTGCATCTAGTGCATAGTTTATCATGACATGTCTTGCATAAGTACTCTGCTGTATTTTCACAGGTATCACAAACTACTGCACTCTGCATGCGAACCTCCTCCAAAGCTTCTCTGTCAGTCATATTATCTAAAAAAAAAAGAAAACGTGATTCTAATGTAAACATTACGTAGAGAACCAGAAATCACATAAGGCCTAAGAAAAAAATGTTTATTTACGGTTAACTGACCGACCTTAATACTATGCACCGACCCAAATGCTTTTTTGTTATAAAATACGGAAATTGCATGTCTGTGTATATTTTCTTTTAAATGTTATGGCCAATTCATAAGCCGTGAGGTCACTTTTTAGCACCCCCTCATCAAGTTGTCGGATATGTGGTAAAAAAGCATTAATAGAAAAAGAGAGCTTCAAACTGTCTTTCATGAAATGTATTTCAAAGTATGCCCTTATATGTAAAAAAAGAAATAAAAGAAAAGAAAAACAAAAATCCTACCTACACACCCTATCTTTTTATAAATATATAATAGTAAACAAACACATTTTTTTCTTTGCCTTACATGAATTTCATGAAAATCAGCATGCAATGGTAGTGTACTGTATTTAAGGAAAAAACTGTCTGATTTTTTTTGTTTCATGATGTGATCAAGCAATTGGCTTGCGTCATAATTTGCATGCACGCCGAAGGCGTTTATGCATAAAATTATCACGCAATCCAATTGCTTGACCATCGTCATGAAACCAAAAAATCTGACAGTTATTTCATATATATTTACATGCTCTTGATTCCGTAAATTCACGTGATAGAAGCCCCACCCCCCACCCCCCACCCCTACTTCTGTCTCTGTCCCGCCCCGCACGAATTTTTTTTAACCACGCTTATCAATGAAACAGTAGCTTTATGTAGTAATCAAGTATTTTTACTATTTGTAGTTTTATCTCGGACAAAGAAATTTAAAAATGTAAATATATAGAAATTAAGGCGACTTGGGGCAATTTCTTGGATCTTACTGAACCCTGATGGCAGCATTAGTTTAGTTCAGATTTCTTGCTTGGGATACATGGACTTTTGCATAAGATATTCAACAGACAGTCTGAGGTAAGTACGATTTGTTTTTCTTATTAGGAACGATGTTCAAGAAAACTGAGCATTAAACTTTGAAACATTAAACAATTTTAAAGTGACGGTTAATTTTTTTTCAAAAATATCCCCCCCCCTTTTTATCAAGTAATAACTATGTTCCCATCTGGCCATTTGTGGACAATAATAGAGGAGTTCCAGTGAATGAGGTGAAAAAAAGTAGCTTCTATTTTTTTCAGCATGCTTGTTGATCACTCTTCTTTCCTTATTCCATGATGCCGAAGTTTGCACAATCATACAACATAAATAATGGACAGTATTTACCTCGATTTGCCTCAGTGAAAAATATAAGCAAAGGCAGTTTTAATCATGTAAGTAAAGATACAAGATTGTTTATTTTAAGAATCAGCTACGGTGCCAAAATTTTCACTCTTCTAGGACTAAAGCTTTTTTCGCATCCTGACCTATTACATGCACAGGAGCTAAGTCCCTTTGACCTCTAACCCTTTGTACCTATACCGGGGGTAAGCTCTCTAACTCTTCGTACCTATAATTTACGTTTTAGATCAAAACGGACGCAGTCTTTTTAATAATGGGTTCGAATTTGAAGAGTTTGGGGGTAAAAACGGGCTTAGTACATGTATGCTACACACCTCGAACAAAGGGTTTTTGCTTATAACAAATAACTTGGTACACTCCACAGCTGCATGCTCCAAACCCAAGCTTCAATTCAGTCTATTAAAGTCAAGAGACATACATCTCATTGACAATATTTATTCAATCATACATTTTAGCATATATAATGATGAAATCACCAAGCTTCATAGTTGGATGACTATGCCATTGTGTGCATAATTATTAAAACTATCATTATCAATGACAGGTTCTAATCATGGACACAGCGACAAGAACATTAAACCATTGGACCTGAGGTACTAAAAAAGTCAATAAAATCTACAGAATTGGTAAAATAAACAGATTTCGCTCTCTTTATTTCCCTCTTTCTTTCTGTAATAATTAACTTCGGCCAAAATTAAAACAGAAAATTAAGCCAAGTTTAATTGAATGAATATCTAGAATTTACACTGTGTCACTTATACTTCAGCCAGAATGATACATATCCAATCGGATAGTGCAAACGTTAAAAGTTACTCATCATCTTCGATTCCAAGAAAGCACAACAAAAAGTCAAAATATGATTTATAACGAATTCCAAATACACAGACAAAGTCCTATAGTGCTAAATTGTGTGTAAACTTTCCCGTTATAGGCTGACACAACCGAAACGTTTTTTTCTTGGGGGGGGGGGGCATTTTTCTATAGGATTCTTCGCTTTTTTGGAGCAGTATGACTATTTTTTTCAAATCTTTATCTAAATGATATACATTCAAAAACAGATTTTCACTAATGTCCTAAGATTCCTAAGCTCCTGTCTTAATATTAAAAAAGACATAGCTATCTTCATAGAGATAACGAACCTGATTCCTTCATCATGTTTATGAGAACTACTCACTGTAGACGTTACCTGAATTGTTGCAGACATACCCCTGAGAGTATGATTATCACAACTGGGCCTGTACGAAATTGCACCTGTCCGGATTTAATTATCATTATCTACAATAAAAAACACAGTAGACGATAGAAACGTATGGTGGCATATTTCTGCCCCTTGTGTGCAAGTTATTTTTCTATCAAATATCATGAAATATGTCGACATGCAAGATAAATATGTTGACATGCAAGATAGTTATGTCAACATGCAAGAAAATTGCAATCAAATAAAAATTATAAAAAAAAATCTTCAAAAATCTCGATTATCGCCCACATGTGACACCCAACCTGCTAGATGCTACTCATTTATGTCAACATGCATTTTATTTATGTTAACATGCGAGATAAATATGTCGACATGCAACTTATTTATGTTGACATGCAACTTATTTATGTCGACATGCAATTTGGTTATGTTGACATGCGAGATAAATATGTTGACATGCAACATATTTATATCAACATGCAACTTATTTATGTTTACATGCATTTTCAGATACAGTTCTGCTATGACCTTTAAAACCCTTTGCACATCCTTTAAAAGAAACCTCGGATGAACAGATGGACGGACGGACACACTAATTACTATAGGTCGCCCGCAGAGAGGGGCCCTAAAAACGTTTTATAATCTACGGTCATGTTTCTGAATCGCCAGGACATTTTATCTAAGGAAATTCAATTTATACTTTATTGTCTGCCTCATATTATAGAAAATAATTTATACAGCAACATTTGCTTGAATAATTTTCGTTCATTAAATTCAACTTCAATTTTACCAACAAAAAAAAAAAAAAAAAAAAAAAAAAAAAAATTAATAAAAAAAAAAAAACAAAACAAAACAGAACCGTGCCTCATCGCACGCGTCTTGGGTAGTAACGAATCTGTACGCTCGCACAAATGTTCAAATTGTGTATCACGTAATTTCATTTAGAATTAAATTTAATCATTTAATTCAAAATCTTATCATTTTGAAAATCGATCATATTTAAAAAAGTATATATCCAAAATGAAATCACAAATCGATCATATTCACTGTAAACTTTTTGCCATTTCTGGGTCTTCAGACATTTAAATCGATTTGTGATTTCATTTTTGGATATTTACTTTTTTAAAATTATATGTATATCCGCTACTCAACATAACTAAGTTGCATGTCAACATATTTATCTCGCATGTCAACATAACTAAGTTGCATGTTGACGTAAACAAATTGCATGTTGACATAACTAAGTTGCATGTTGACATAAATAACTTGCATGTTGACATAAATAACTTGCATGCCAACATATTTATCTCGCATGTCAACATTAATAATTTGCATGTCGACATAAATAAGTAGCATCTAGCATATTGGAAGTCACAAGTGGGCAATATTTGAGATTTTATAAAGTTTTTTTTATAATTCTTATTTGATTGCAATTTTCTTGCATGTAAACATATTTATCTTGCATGTCGACATATTTGACAGAAAAATAACTTGCACACATGGGGCAGAAATATGCCACCATAGAAACGCAAAGGGTTTAACTTTTCGTGTAAAACGTGTACTAACGTGTAACGTTAGGCCTACTAAGTTTCCCTCGCCATTCGATTTGGTCCCTCGCTTCGATCGGCACCAAATCTCATAGTACTCGGGAAAAGTTTACCAACATATACATGTACTTACCTTCTTTAATAATGGGTAGGAAAGTTTGGGATCAAAACGAGCTTTGGTCCCCTTTGTATACATAATGCGCTGTACATGTTTCAAATACGTCAAAGGACTTACAATGGATGATTGACCTATTCCGAATGCTTTTTGCACACAAGCGTATGTACATAAACTATTTGAGGAAAGTTTAAAACTTATAATACCTGTATGTGCCCGTTTATCTGTTGTGCACTCTCTTCTAAGCTTCACCTATTTTCAGCTGACCTTGGCATTAAGGTGCGTTTATTTATGGAACGCCGCTCATATCATCATGATCATCAAATTCAGAAAACATGTAATGGTTTGGGCCGTGTATATACATATCGGCCTGGGTAGCTGGCTCAGTAGATAGATCGAGCACGACTATAGTTACGCTAAAAGGGAATTGTTCCTCTTTTCAGTAATAAAAACATTACTGCTTTCGCTTAGACAAACACGGGGAGGACCTACGAAAAACCTCGTTCATCGGTTAGCGAAAAGATGGCCGAGGAAAAAATTTCATTAAACAGTTCACCAGTAAGACATGCATATTGCATGTATAAACTAACCCATTAAAATACACTTTCAGTAACTGAATTTTAAAAAAAAAAACTAGCCCTATTATCCAGAATTTAGTGACAATACAAATTGTTCCACATTTCATATGTTATTCTATGTAAACTAGACTGTACATAAAAATTCAACAAAGTTGTAAACATAATCATTGTACATCGTTGTAAATGCATGCAATTCACAATGATTATTTTATTATGTATGAATAATCATCGTACATTGAATGCGTTTACTACAGGTACTTTAATTTATATCCATAACGCACAACCCACAAATGGCTGAAATAAATTAATTTTAATATATAAAACGATATTCTTACGAAATGTATATCTGAGAATGTTGTGTTACAGAAATAACCACAAGAAAAACACTTTATATTGTCATTTTCTCTCACTTTGTGTTAGAAATAAATGACTTATGGTATTCCATCCGTTTTATACCAGTAGCTGACAGAAAAATCTGTTTTATTCATATTGGACACTTTGCTCCTTTTCATCACGTTTCGTGGAACTCCGTCATGTTCATTCAAAGTTATGTATAATTTGGTTTAGGCAATCCATCTACTTTTCAAAGAAATAGATAATTTTGTATTACAATTATATGGCCAATTTGAATATAAACAGAGATAGACATTGTTGATTTCTAAATAAAAAAAAATCAGTATTTTTCTTTTACTTTGAAAATTACATCAGTTTATGCTTTATTAAAAATAGATTTGATTCAAGACTTTACTTCTAATGTTAGATGAATGGCGAATCAACAGTCACTACATATGTTAAACGTCTTCGGTTTGACGTGGCGCCGAGAATTAGGATCAAACATTGGCCTCTTCCTGACAAAGTGATCGTCAAACTACACCAAAATGATATTTACAGATGAAATGAGGATTTGATGTAGGACATATTGCAAAATCTTTTCGAAAACGTTTCACTTCGTCAGCTTAGATAATTGATGATTCTTATTTTTCCATCTGAACAACCGACGCAGAGGTCGTTCTTGTAGTCAACACACACAGATATTGGATTAACTTGGTCATCTACCGGAATGGTTAATAGAGATAAAAACTTGCCATCTTTGTCTAAAACGTGAATTCCATGGTTGTTTTCATCAGCGATGAGAATGTTTCCAAGAATATCTGTACATATTCCACGGGGAAGAAATGGATAAGCCAATGACGCCTCCTTCCCTGTATAGGTAAATCTAAGTACTCCATCTGTACATATGACATTAACAACGTCTATGGACAGACATATATCACCATTTATGTTCTCTGAAATGTACGCACGAAGGTTGTTGGTTTTGAAAATTGGTTTAGGAATCATTTTTTCCCATAAATGTGTTACGCGTTGAAGACATTTTCCTTCACAATTATATCGGACAACTGCGCCAACATTTTCTTGCATATGCACTGCTGCAACCAAAATATCCCCGCTTCTTGCAAGACACATGCACACAGGTAACAAAGGTGTTAAATCTACAAATAATGTCTCACTGCTTGTTCCGGTTGCATATAATGTTGGTTGACTTTTTCTAAAGATAACCATGCCAACTTCAGTAACACATATAGGTTTGTTTTTGAAATTTTGAATGTTTGTATTTACTTTTGAAAGGCAATTACCTTTACTATCAAAATTCATAAATTCTGATGTATTTTTTGAGAAAATCCAATATGAACATACGTTGTTGTTTAGTTGACTACAAAGGGACTCAATCGGTCCTTTGTTTATGGCTATTGACTGAAGTACAACCATGGCAGCAGATGATAGCGGTCGAGCTATTGCAAAACTATAAAGCATTCCCAATATCTTTGAAATCGGCATTCTGTTTAAGTTTTCCTTTTCTTCTTGCAAATATTTGATTATACCAGGAAACGATAAGGATGGACACTCATCTGGCATCGTAACACCAAGGGTGCAATTTGCATATAAGATGAAGAAACTTCTCTTCTGCATGTCGTTCGTCTGAAAACTTGACATAAAGTCTTTCATATTTCGAACGTGGGATAGAAATCGATCCTCTTGAACTTTAAGTATTTCTAAGTTAGATTTCTCTCGCTCATCAACCTTTTCTTCAAGATGTTTTTCGGTTTCTTTAAGTTCTGATATCACTCTTTGAAGGTGAGCACGAATTTCTTTCTTCACAATTTCATTGTTCTCCATTTCCAGCGCTTTTCTTTCGATAATTTTCTTCAGTGTTGCTTCATATTTTGGTAGCTCTGCGCAAACTGTAGATAATTTCAGTTCGAGTTTCTCCTTCTTCTTATAGAACATTTCTGTAAAATCCATTAGTTTATGACCATTATGTTCCCCAATAAGGCATTTCTCACAAACGGGAACCTCACATTCTTGACATCCAATATTTGCCCGAAAGTTTGGATGCCATTTGCAAATAAGATGAGAAGGGCATTCATGAGACAATGTAAGTGATTCATATGTTAATAAGACGACTTCGTGGTCAAATGTACCCTTACTTCTAGAGTGGATATCTTTACATTTGTGGCATAACCTGTCGTGACACGTTTTGCACAAATGTTCCGCCGTATTTTCACAAGTGTCACAGTTTACCGGTGTCTGCATTTTGGGATTTGCCATATCAGATGAAATCGCCATGCTATGATTACTGAAAGGAAATCACAGATAAGAATATTTCAGTAAGAATGTAATGGTTTTTTAGAGAACAAACAAACAAAAACTACTTTCGGTATAAATTCCAAGAATACACATTCCACATTAATTGACTACAATATCCTACGTACTTTCTGTGTTAAGGACGTGCTTTAACGTAATTTAATTGCGTAAACATTAAGATTTTCACTCAATCACTTAATCTGAAGCAAGAAAACTTTACCTATTCAGGCGATGTCTAAGTTGTCTGCCATTAATCGGCACGTGTCATCCATATGACGCGTTAAAGTATGAGACATCGTTTAACAGGTTGGAGAGAATACTCGAAATCGGGTATTATCCGTGAAATCGCGTATAGTCCTCGATATCAGGGTATCGTTGAATCCGCGAAATCGGGTATACCGTGCAACTTTCTGTAAAAACAGAAAAATAAAGCAACGGCGCACTGTGTCAGTTAGTGTTACTTGTACATCAGTATCTTGGGAGGTTATTTTTATTGAACTCAATTTAAGGAGGCTGGGGGGTCAACAAATTAACCACAAATTAACCACCAGATTTAACTTAATTTTTTAGATATGATATCTTAAGCTGTCAACTATCATTTGGCAAAGAAAAATTTCAAAAATTTTAGTTTTAAAATTTGATCATTTTCTATATCTTCATATGGAGCTCTTCTTCTAAAGGAGATCAATATAGTCTAAAAATGGCCACAACCCCCCAGCCTCTTTAAATGGTTGTCTGACAAGTTTAAAATCACACGACAAACACTGCTGGGGTAGCAAAGAAGGCAAGGTGGCGTCATTATTTTTCAGTACAAGTTCTAAAAACAAATAACTACATGTGTTCTGTGTTTATTTCCCTATAAATTATTCCCCAAGCTTAATTTCTTAACCTGTGCATTATTCACAAAATGTAAAACTTTGAAGAAATTTAACGACTAATGCTGTGTTATGTATTTTTTTACTTAAAAATGTATGGTGTCCCTTTCACGTTAAATTTAAATTATTCCTCAGTTGGTAAGTACATGTTTTTCTCATCGATATAGAATACCGACGTTTTCGTAAGGGGAAAAATAAAATAAAAACAAACAAACAAACATAAAAAAAAAACAACAAAGGGAAAGCAGGTTGAAAAATGATATAAAATGAAATAAATTTAATATCTACATGTGTACATGCATGTAAACTAAAATACATTTTTAAAAATTAATACAGTGTATATTGATAAAGGTAAAGAATCTTTAGTAAAATCATCAGTTCCTCCTATGGTGTATGTATACAGTCCTGCAATTCCCGCTGGGAAAGGGGGAAGTGCGAATTTTTTTTAAAGAAAATATTTTACTGTCAGTTTACCATGAAAATTTTCATTCAAAGAACCCGCCAATGTTTTGGTTGCATTTTGATTGATGCAAGCGACGTTATTTTACCTATGTGTGATTGTGTGGAAATTGAGAACGAGATGTCTTGTAAAAAGGATTTTCGTTTAGCTGGGGTGGGGGTGGGGGGCTTGGTTTATATAAATAAATAAAAAAAATCCAATTCGCACATCTTTTCATGTGCTTATCATACATTCTCAATATAGAGCTAATATTCAAATATGAATTATATATTAAAGTTTTCACATATTATACTGTTTTTACTTTTTATACATATGAACAAACTGAAGTGGAGTGTTCAATCGCGTCTTAGCTCTTAAGTCATGAGCTGCATTGTTTTTAATTAATCATCCATACAGATTGGAGACACTTTCTTTTATTATTATTATAGTATTGGATAGACAAGGTAGATTTTCCCTTCAGAGTCTGTAGTTTATTTTAGATTATATCGCTTTAAACCTCATTATAATATGCTAAAATACGTTATCTGATTGATTCTAGACAGTACGTCACGTGACAGGGAACTAAAACTTCATAATATCCTGTCTTTTCTGTAATCTGTGATACTTATTACTCATTGTTATCACTTTTTTGTTATTATTCATCTATGGTGAAAAAATGTGTTAAAAAATAAACATGAAGTTTAGTTATTTTTAATCTTGTCGAATGTGGTAGAAAATAACAGGTTTCTATTTTAACCTCATATTGTTTCGGCATATAAACAATTATTACATGAATGTTTTGGAGATATGGAGAATTCTATTCACTCAAGAGGGCAAAATAGGGAATCAATATGATTTTTATTAGATGAATAGATCTTCTCTCTTTATCATGCAATGAATATATACCATTCAATGACGTTTAGCACAAAACTCTACAATAACATTTTACATTTAATTTGATTATTTTGAAAGGGGAGGGATGTTTCTCTTGGACACATGCATAACACATTCGAGGTTAATTTTCGCTTGACCGAGATAGTCCGGACAAGGAATAATTAATGTAAGCAGCTAGTAACAACCGTTATAGCTATTCACTTTCGTCCCCTGAAGTCGCCGAAAAATGGTAAAATATTACCGACTCAGCGAAATTAAATGATCAACAGTTATTTTCTCTCACAAGCTATGTTGCTAAGAACATCATTGTCTTTGCTAAAACGTTGGAGGCATGTTGAATCCAAAGAAAATTTTAATAATTAAAAAAAAAAAAAAAGAATATGTCGCCTTTTATAATTCTGGGAATTAGCTTTAATTGTCATTCTCTGTTTATAAAACATATGTACTGGTACAAGATATATGTAAGGAATGCTATTCAACGACAAAAAAAAATCAACTGATGAAAAAAGATTCATAACACACACCCCCCCCCCCCCCTCCGAAAAAATACTAAATAATATACGCGTTATATTAGTTTTTGCCGTAATTTGAAACATTTTAACCATTAAATAGTTTATACATTTTGTGATGAATTATTTTTATGCACAAGATGAATGTTAAAGCAATTAATGACGCATAATTAAATACGATAGAAAACCCCCTGTTTAAATGTCAGATTATTTTGTGTGTGAAATGTGTTTCCGTATAAATTGAATTATTTACAAAATGTTCATGTTTGTCGTATTGATGTGGAAATATTATAAATTCCAGACTTCTGATATTTAATAGTTCTGTTGTGTTGGGTATGAACATGAAGAAGATGCAAATACTTTTAACATTATATAAAATATAAAACCAGAACGAACGTTTGTTTGGGTGCAGATCATGAAATGTACTAAGTTCCACGGGTATTTGTTGTCCTATGCGCATTAATTCAGACTTCCAAATTGTTATTTGGCTAGCGATACCTTTAGATAACATTTGTCTCTAGGTGAAAGTTGACTCGGCAAAATGCGCCATCCCATTGTTTAAGTTTTATAAGGTGATTACACCGCCTATACCCGACTTCGCGGATACAACGATACCCCGATTTCGGGGACTACACGCGATTTCACGGATAATACCCGATTTCGAGTATTCTCTCCAACCTGTTTAAAGCATAGACGTACCTATATGGTTAAAGGCACCGGTATTAAAGGGGCCTGGGTACAGATGCATTGCCGTTTTGTCTACAATTTAATATTTCTATTTTTATTAAAAAAAAAAAACTTCATTTTAATGATTTAAAATTACGTGAAAATTCTTTAACTTCAATGATCACGATATTCTTCATAACATTGGGTCAAACATGTGTGTTTGTAAACATGGACACGAGGTCTGTTATTAGTCCCCTACCGGTTAAACCGGAGGGGACTATAGGTTTCCTCTGAGTCTGTCCGTCTGTCTGTCTGTCTATCCGTCTAGCTGTCCCTCTGTCTGTCTATCAGTCTGTCCCACTTGGTTTTCCGCACTTTTTTTCTAAACGCTTGCAGATATTGAACTCATTTTTGGTTTGTGGGTGTATCTTGATAAGTTACAGATTAAGTTTGCATTTCGTTCCGCTTCAATGATTTTTGACGGAATTGCGATCTTTTCAATTTTTCAGGATTTTCTAATGTTTTTTTCTAAACGCTTGCAGATATTGAGCTGATTTTTGGGGTGTGACTTAACCTTCATAAATTATAGATCAAGTTTGCATTTTGTTCCGCTTCATTGAGTTTTGACGGAATTGTGGCATTTTCAATTTTTAACGGGAACCAGATTACACTTGCCGGTAGGGGACTAGTATTGCTAATGCAATACTCTCAGAATGCTTGTTATTAATGTTTACGTTTTACAGGGTGTGTTCAATTTTTTACTCTGCAAACATTACTGAAAACTAACTCACAACACTAGTGTGTTGATTTTGCTTTCTCACATTTCTTATTTGGATTTTCTCGTTTATAGCTTCAATATTTTTTATCAATACAAAACAAATTTTCCTCTTTTAAATATTAGGGATGAAAGAAGTTCTTAAACACGATTTTATAAAATATTGGTGTGAAATGCTCTAGCAAGATGTAGTTCGTGATATTATCCCGAAAATTTAAGAAAATATGAATCTGTGTCCAGGTCCCTTTTAGCCGAAATACGTACCCTTTGTTCTTTCGGTGCATCAGAATATTTTGAGAAGATATATTGAGTCTTAGCGTCATGCAGAATAAACCACAAACACGAAATAAATGATACTTTGTGCATAAATAAAAACCCTGATGATATGTCTGCCTTCATAGATAGATAAAGGTACCGTGTCATTTTGTGAACAACTGTATAAGCCAGCATACCATGAAAGTATAATACCAGTTCTCAGTAACTATCTAAATAGGTTTCCACATATAGAAACAGATTTGGAATTTTATATCATGATTTAATACAGATATGTTAGTGATTGTAAAATTTAAAAATAGCTTTTGAAATGTATGTTTGGTTGCCAGAAAAAGGGGATGCAAATTATCTCATTTTCGTCAATCAAGAAAATTAGGCAGTGAATAGGCAGCTCGCCCCTAATACAAAGGACCACGGTTCAAATCCAACAACGACCAACAATTATTTACCAAATATTATTTTTTCCACATAAGCATAATAATTCTAAAATATAAAATGCATTAAAACAATTTCACCATATCACATATCTCTCCGTTTGTCATTGCTGTCCAGTGTGTCCGCAGCAATGTCATAAAACAATTTATTTGAACTCTAGAAAAAAAAAA